GAACACAAATTTAAAAAAAAGTATCTATGAATGTATGAACAGAAAAGATTTTAAACACAACAATTTATTGTACACAGAAATAAGTTCAGCCATGAGTTCAATCTAAAGAAGGCCACACTTATTAAAAGAGAAAATAACCTAGATGGTTTGCTGCTATTGAATCTTACCAAAATATAAATCTTCACCTTGGATTTTTTTTCATATATCTCTTAAAGTAAATACTCCTTTCCCAAACCAACATGCATGACTATAAAAATTCTTAAAAAGTGTTTGTTGAATCCAATGACTTGGCCCAAAGAGTTGTGAGCTCAATACCTAGCTACAGCAGAGATGAACAAAAACGTAAAAAAATAAGTGATACTAAGAAATCTGGAAGAGATAGAACTAGACCAGTCTATCCCGGTGGACGAAATAAAGAGTTTGATTTGAAATTCCAATCCCCCCGAAGAAGGCCAGAGTGTACAACAGTTGAAATGTCATGAATATGGTAACAAAGATAGGGATAGTAGTCAATAATAATAACAACATTTACTCACTTTTGTTTATGAGATATTAAATTACATCCTTGAGCATCTTCCATAATTTACCTTAACTTTTCAGTTTAGCATAAAATATATTTCTGAAGGTTCTTAAATTTAAAAATTCTGAAAAATTAGCAACATTTTTATTTCTGTTTATAAATGTTGCAAAATAAATTGATAAAGTCCATCTCAGTGGATGAAATGCATCAGCTAAGATAAGTTTTCCTTTTGTCTTTATTTATATTGTCATTTTACAGATATATTTTTAGGTATATCTGGATTTTTACATATGTTGATTACATTGTTTAAAATTTAGTATATTTCTGGAGGAAGAGTGCTCAATATCAACATTTGTAGATATAGACAGTGTGGACAAAGACCATGAAGAAATGGTCTAATAATTGCTTGAGGTGTGAAACTAACAGTCAGCATGAAGTGTTCATTTCCATGTCCACACACATACATATGTATGTATGTATGTATAACTTATTTTGTCAATAGTTGATATTATCATATTTTTAACATTCTATTTCTAACTTTCTAATTTGTACTTTTCTCCTCAAAGCATTGGGAATTTCTTTGAAAATTCCCTAATAAAATTATTCTAGGAATACTTTATGATCATTTCATTAACTAAGAATATTCTAAAATACTCTGGATTACAATGTTAGATATATATATATATATATACTATATACCATTTCACTTATTTTTACCATCCGGTTTGTTTCCTAATAAAACTTTGTAGATTGCTTTATATGCTTTATATTTTTTATGTCCCATAAAATGTCTTTTATTTATTTTGGTCATGAAAATTTTTGAAGGAGAGACTCAACAATTAATTTAATATTATCTAACGAATATTAATATGGTTAAGTAAAGATAAAGTTTAATCAGCTCCATTTAAACTACATAGCAGTAATCAACATGTATTCTCCTAAGACTATACTATTTCCAAATTAAACACTTTAATGTTATTGTTAGCTAATAATATTATAACTTAAAATGAACACTATTTATTAATGCATAGTATCATTTGTTAGAAAAATTTTTAGATGTTATTTTTCTTAAATATTGTCATTTTCTAAATATAATTCATATTCAAAATAACAATCTATATGCAAATTAGTGAATTTTTATTTTCCTTTTTCAAAAGTTTAATTCTTATGCAACAACTTGCATCCATGCAAGATTGCTTTAAATCAGTGCCTAATGTTTTAAATATTCTAATAAATCCAGTAAAAATAAAATATTCTGAAATTAAAAAAAATTAATTTGGTGTTTATTCAATGGGAAGATATAATTTTGCCCACATATAAACCTATAAGTTACTGATAGCTTTGTCACTTTACTGAATACCATTGCTGATAAAATGAAAGATAGAAAATGTGACTAATAGATAAACAAATCATTTTATCACTTTTCAGCATTTACAATTTTTTATGCTCAAACCAAGCATTGATTTAATAGTACAATTAAATATATTAACAAACTTTTGCTCTGATCTGAAAATACTGATTTGGATAATCATAGCTTTTTATAACTTGTCTTTTATTGAGAGTTCAGACCAAATGCATTACTGTTTTTTGAAGGACATAACAAAATAGGAAAAAATTTCACAAAGAATAGTTTTTTAGTGAAGTTGTTGAAAATGAAAAATAATTCTTTTTTTTAACTTGTACATTGATATGTTATTATTAAAATCTGTAACTACTATAATGTGTTTTTATATCAAAATATATAAATTATTTTCTACACAAATTAAACTTTTTTATGAGAGATGCAATGAGTCAAGTGGATATGTGGAAAACACCATGATATATCTTATGTTATAAGAAAGAAAAACAATTAACTTATGCAGGTGATTTGAAATGAGTTTGTAGAGTTGTTGAATGGTTATTGCAGAAAAGGGACAAAAGAAAAAATAAAGTTATCTGTGTGTGTATTAGACTAATCAATTGTCAAAAACATTTGTTTGAATCTTTACCAGCAGTCTTCTTTGTATAGGAAACACTAATATCCTAAGGAGATTTTCTGCCCCAATCTTTACTTATTCCCTAATTTCTCTCTTTTTTTTTATTGTTTCACCCAATGAAGCCACTAGGATGCAAGGAGTTACTAAAGAGTGAAAGAAACAGAGAGGACAATAAAAGAACAGAATTCAAAGAAACAAAAGATAATGATTGACATTGCATTTAAATTTTTAAAGATCATAGTTGACAGCAGCAGAAAGTTGAAAGAGAGTTCCATAAGCGAGAAAGGGCACTATTAGCATATAACTTATGGTTACATCTAGCAATTTCAACAGAGAAATTATGATACATAGCTGCCAATCTCTTACTGCTTCCAAATTTTGTGAAGTCAAGGTACCATGCAAGAAAGCTCACCAGAACAATTACTTATAGAAGAGACAAAGGTGTGGGAGGTACATTACAGCAGTGAGAAAGTGAGTGAAGCCAAGATGCAAAGTCAGGACTGATAATGTTGGCAATTCTTCTTTGAATTTTGTCAAGAATCTCTAAATACATAGTCAGATCCTGTTTTCTTCCCCTCTTCAACTAGGATCTGCTAAGTTCTAATTTCTTACATAATAATTATTTTCTTTGTCAGGTAACTGATGATATAAGTCATTAAATTTTGCCAACAAAGGAAAATGATCAAACCTGACCTAATCCATTAATTGAACTGCTTTTGTTTACTGTTGTTTTTTTAATGGAATATTTAGTGTTGACATTTCTCTCACTTCAATTCTGAGCCCAAATCTATAACAATGGTAAACAAAATTATTTCAACCCAATTCATGGTTCTTTGTTTATTATCAGTGTCAGTCAAATATCATCATCAATATTTAACTCCCCACACCTTTACCTGATTAAAAGAACAGTAAACACAAAATATTTGACCTCAATGTTTTTCTTTTCATTATCAAATTTATTTTCCCGTAATTGTCTTAGTCTATATATCTACTTATTTCTATATTAATCCCCTTCCCACATTTTTGTAAAGGGGCCCTTTGTCATATTAATAACGTGACACTATTTGCTATAAAAAAAGAAAAGAAAAATAGTACTGTTCCTATGTATTTCCATAGCCTTGTACCACTGCTCCTATGTATTTCTATAGCCTTGTACCACTGTTCCTATGTATTTCTATAGACTTGTACCACTGCTCCTATGTATTTCTATAGACTTGTACCACTGCTGATGCTGATTAGTGGATGAATTTAGATTTTCATATAATAATAAAGAAAACTTATATCATGAAATAGCAATAATTCTAAATTGTGGAATAAATTGATTTCAATGTAAAAGAAAATAACTAAACTTTTTTGATACAGCTCATTTGCATGTTTCTATGTTTAGAAGGTATGAGAAAATAAAATAGCATCTGCTATGAGCTTTGCTGTAGTTTTATATCTAGATTAAAATTTACACAAATTACCAATAATAGTGAAATGGATGATTCTTCAAAATCTCTGTTAATGGCAGCCCAAGAGATTTTAGAAAAAAAAATAGAAGAAGGAATCAGAATAATCAATAATTTATTTTATAATTGAAAAACAAAAAATGGTTTTGCAATGTAAAATTTTGAAAAACTAAAATAGTTTTTTATGACTAAAATTCTTAAGAGGTTTACAAAAGCAATTTGTGACAGTTTCCTTCTTAGTCTTTAAATAGTAATTATTTACCTGATCTCTTATTTTAGAAGCAGTAGCAATTGTTACTGCCTCTTTAAGAAGCAATAACATACAAGAATAAAATTCATTCTTATAATTTTTAAATTCCAATCAAAATGTTTCCTTAATCTCCTCTTACTCTGATAACCAATATCACAGAATTTAATAGAAAAGTTTATTGCAAGTTTAGAAAACATACTTGTAGGTAAAATATGTCAAAAACACAGTCAAAATGATAATGTTGAATGAAATGTGTGATACAGATGGGAAAGAAGGTGATAAAAGTGGATTAGGAGAAAAGATAATGATTGACTCTTGACTTGAAGAGGTTAAGTTTGAAGTGTTCAAGGAAGCACAGGTGAGTTCATCTGAGAATTTACTATGGAAATAGTGAGATTAATAACAGACTTGCAATGTTGTATCTATGGGAAAGAGGTTGCAGAGTTGAAAATAAGCCAGACCCCATCTTCCTTCACAAGACCGCATAAATGATTTTGGAAATATATCAAAAGCTGCAAAGTAAGGATTGAGATGCTCCATCCCAAATATGGCAGAAATACTTAATTTTTGATCAAATATATTTATTTGATTAATAACAGAGGATGCTATTCAATATTTGCCTCTCATAATCTTTATCACATCTGAGAGGAAATAAAAAATGTAATCAATTGTGAATAAACATGGAAACATCAGCAATTTTTCTGTTTTTTCTATTGATTTTGTTCAAATTTATATTTTTAGAATTATATTCTACTGCAGATATTTATTGTTTTTGTTTAATTATTGTTTTGTTTTACTTACAGGCTCTAAATTGTGAGTGGTCAAGCCAGACTCGGGGAGTGGTCCTTCAAGGAGAAGTTGGAAGTGGAAAAACAGCTGTAATAGAGCAGTTGATTGACTATAGCTGTTTTGGAACTAAGACTTATGGCTCAACTTTACCAAACGGAGGTGGGTGATAACAAATATATAAATATGAAATCATTGTATAAAGAAATATGCGTCTTCTTTTTTTTTTTTTTCATATTCAGAGTGCAGTTATGGTGTGAAACAGTTGTTTCTCACTGAAAAGATTTTTTATTACATTGATGTTCACCCCTGCATAAAGCCTGAGAGCTTCTCAAGGTAGAAGGTTATAGAGTAAGGGGCAGAGTTTATATAGATATGTTAGGAAGATAACAGTTAACTATTTACTTGAACAGGTTAAGACTGTAGAGATCAGGGAAGCATCCTCTTGGGTTTGTAGGAAGAAGAGGAACTTACATCTCACCAGTGGAATGGTGAAGGGAATTAGGGCGGTTTGCTATAATGTGCATAGCATGGTGGGTTTAGCCATGAAGGTTAGAACAGCCACTAAGGTATGTAGTTTGTTTCAACACTTTCCATATAAATAGCAATAGAACAGTAAGAGGCTTGCAGTGTTTCATCTGTGAGAAAAGAGTTGAAACAAGAACATAAAAATGCTTTTGGACTCTATCAAGATGGGAAAGTGAAGACTGGACAACACCTGCCCATATATGGCAACAGTACTCCATTTTTTTTTACCTCATCTGGCTCTTGAAAAGGTAGCAGATAGCAGGATGAGTCAGGTACTTACTACAGTGGCATAGGGAACTGGCCATTTTCCCAGTACCTTTAGCTATGGATTAAATAGTTAATAGGTAAAAAAGAAAGTGTTTTAAATGAAATATTAAATGAAGCCTGGAGAATTCTCATAATGATTTATTTTTGGCATATGTTCTAAAAATCAGTCTACGACATGAACAAAATATACTTGAGAACGATAATAATTTATAGATGGATAGACCCTCATACATAGATTAAAAACCAGATTTTTGTTGAATATTTCTGACTTTAGCACACAGCCATATTCATGGGGTACCCAACGAGAAAGTTGTTTACAAAACTAACACATGAATCACTAATTCTAATATTCAGTTTTGTTTTTTGAGTAGAACTAACCTCATCTTTTTTCCTTCATATTTTCCATCCATTTTACAGGTGAAATTTTATCCATTTAACTGTGGGTCTTTCTTGTTTATATAACCCAGCTTGTGGTCAAAGTCATAGTGTTTTAATGTTTTCATGCTGAGGTTTGTCATGAATTTCATTCACTACTTTGTTAATTTTATTTATTTTCTTAATTCATGTTTGCAAGTGTAAACTAGAAACTCCTTTTTATTTACCTAGCTGGTCGGCAGCTGCTTGTTCATCTCATGAAATGCAAAGATTGTGCTGTTCTTTTACTAGACCTGGATCAATCTCCAGCTTGTTTCAAACCAGCAACATGACCTCATATGTTGGAATTTGTTAAACAAGGTTCTACTGTCTAGCCTTGGATGGTGTTATTTTGTTTAGCTATATAAAATAGGAAAAGTATTTTTAAGATGTGATATTTTTGCTAGCCAGAATGCTGTGCAAAAAATATCAACAATAAAAAGAAAAGACATCAGCATTCCAAAACCTTAAAAAAAAAAATCAATTCAGTACTGTTTTTTCTCAAAAGTATTAGTATATTCACTATTGAAGCAGGGCTACAAAAATACAGCCCTTGCTTTTTCATACTGTTCAGCAAAATGGCCTCTGATCAGTGCAGCAGATGGGTACCATGAAAGAAAAATAAGGATTCCCTGAAAAGGACCTGTGTCTCCTGTGGTATTGACCACTTCAACTAGAAAATGGAGTATGCTAACAGTCTTTCTTGATACTACAAGATTTTTTTCAGGTGACTGCCCTCATTGAGTAAATCTATGAAATGACTGAGGAAAGGAAGTGACACTTTCAACTTGTTATTATTTCCAGCCACTGCCTTCTGTAGGTTTTGTCAGTGATCCTGCAAAAAAAAATGAAACTCTCTTCTGAATCCTTATTTGTGAGGCAAAACCATGATATAATATTTGCTTTTCATTTAAAATTCCTTTTGACAAAACATAGAGAAAACTTTTTTTTTCATTTTTACTTAATCTACTAACATTTCAATCATCTTAAAGCTTAAAGACTAATCTTATTTAATATAAATGTTGTATACAATACAGAATCTGATCATTCATGTATTTTGAGAATTGTATTATCATTCAGCAGGCATGAGAGCAATCTTTACATTGACAGTAATCCATTTTGACAACCTCTTTGTTTTTCCTCCTTGATTGCATTTTTCTTTTTTGTTATTGCTGGCCTGCAGCCATCTTTGTCATCTTTTGCTTTGTAAGTCACTAATAACATGATGTTTAAATGAAATTTGCTTTATAAGCTTATATCTTGACAGAAAACAAAACAAAAAACATTGTCATAAAAAAGATGTTCAAATGAGGTTTGTGATCAACTGACACCTTATTTTGTAGATTCTGTTCTTTTTCAGTATTTGTAAATTTCTTCATATTATGGAAATTTTTAAAAAAAAATTGAAGTAATTTTTTATATAAATATTCATGGATAGCACATGTTACTTGAAGAGAAAATAATGATATACTCAAGATGTTGACATGCTACTTAAAATCTTAGGAAGGAAACTCCCATAAATACTAGAAAGAGTGATAACAGCTATTGGACTTGAAAAACCTATTTTCTTGAAAAATTGTTTTAAGATAAAGATTTTATAAATTTCAAATGAAAGCAGTACTAGCTGATCAGTCAATGAAGGTCAAGTGTTTCTTTGTAGAGAAATGGCTAATATTACCATTTGTAAGTTTGCAAAACTTCACTTGGTAAATAGGGTCAACATGGTCTTCTTTGTTTTGTGGTAATTTGAAGAAAAACAGGTTTTAATCATTGTTCAAAGTTGTTTATTTGATTTCTCATTTTTATTTCTATTTCATAAAGAATTTCATCAATTTGTAATTTTGTTTATATTTTTTATCAGTGTTTTTAATCTGTCAACAGGAATATTGTTTCAGATCTGTTTATTCAGGCTACTTACTCTTGTACTCAGAATTTTGGTTCAATTTTTTATCATTGTATTAGAATATACTTTATTTTGTTAAGAGTTTCTATCCAGTGGTGAAAGTTTCTTTTATTCAGAATCTCATATATATTTCTTTCCACTTGGTATTCATGTTTTTTTATCACTATATCAGGATCAATATTTAATTTCCTTGTTTTCCTTTAATCATTATTGATTCTTTAAAAATGCTACTTTCACCCTTTGTGTTTTTAAGTAGAAACATGATTCTTGAATCTGTGTTGTACTTCTGCTGCTACTTCAGCCAATTCTGTATTACTTTGTATGGAAAAGGAGTAAAAGTGGTTAGCTAGGTATGGAAAATCAAATTATCTGTTAGCATATTAATAGGCTGCTGATACTGACAGTGGCTAGCAACAACATATGTTTATATTAATTATCAATACATTATATGTATACACATTTGGCATATGCTATAGTTCTTCCACTGCACTCATAACTTCACTCAGTTTCATGGAAGTGTGCATAAGTCTTTTCTCCTACATTGATTATCTTGTTATGCATTCAATATAATTGATGCAGTGTCAGATATCATTATGAAAATCATTGATTTCATAATGAAATTGATACTAAACAACCAATGTTGGGGAAATTTTCAGGACATATTTAGATTTATATGACAAATCATATCATGTGAATTTCAGCTTATTTACATTAAATTATTTGGTGACATAAAATTTTATCATGGATCTTGAGAGTTATTCATCATATTGTAGATAAATATATATAATAATATCGTTATTGATATTAATTTTTTAATTTGAGATATATAAAGATTGCCATGGGTTACAGGAAAGATATAAACTCAAAAAAGAAACAAGATATTGTAAAGTTATTGAGTGATGGGAAAAGAACAAGAAATTGGAAAATGGTTGAACAAAGATAACAATAATAATAATAACAGTAGAGTTAGCTTAGACATTACTATGTCTATCACGCCAGCCATCACAGTCCTGCATTAAGATTAGAAGGTCATTAGGGTGGCATCCTGTATCTTTACATAGTTCATCAATGTAGGTGATTGCCAGGTGACCAACTCATCTTGTGCCATGACTAGGTGTCTAGAGCAGTAGGTCACTCACAAATTCTTGTTTTGCTTGCCAGTAATGTCCTGCAAAGTACACTCTGCATTCATGTAAGATTGTAGAAATATCAGAGATAGATCCATAGAGCTATGTTTTAGTTGGATGTTGTCTCCAAGAGATATTAAGTCGAGCTTACAGCATCTGAGTGTAAATTCCATCCACCTTAGACTCAAGATACTGCAAAAAAATTGACCAATATTAACTAACCAGATGACCTAGCTAACACTGCAGACACATCTAGAAAAAGCTGTTGGACTCTATGTCAATGCCTCTAAAACTGAATTCATAAGCATTCAACCAGCAAGACTCAATACAAATTGTCTCGGGTGACGTCTGATTTCATACCTATCGAAATATTTCTGGCACTTAAAGTAAACCAATAAAACACCTACAATAAAATGGAAATTAATAAGGAAAGCTAAAATATGTAGGTCATTAAATGACCCATGTTCTATGCACATAGGACATGGGTCATTTAATGACCTACTGAAACTCACATAATATATTACTCATAAAAATATAACTGTATCTTGAAACATTTACTGACATCAGTTAGGTAATACTAATTTTATTGTGAAAATATTGACTTACATAATAAAATATGACATACTGTATTCATATACTTTATTATTATTATTATTATTATTATTACCCTTACACATATCTATTTACCTTTCTAACATGTTTACAATTCTTTGTACACTTGCTGAAACATATTGAGTGTATTGAAACACCTTACTAGTCAATGATTCATTATTGATTCTATTTAAATGAGAAAAACACTAAACCAGTCATGGATAATATAAACCTCAAAATTGTTCACATTGTCCAACAATACTTAATAATACATGTTCTTTCGACAGCCTTTACATAAAACAAGTGTTAATCAAGCAAAAGAGTAACATAGA